AGAGAGAGAGAGAGAGAGAGAGAGAGAGAGAGAGAGAGAGAGAGAGAGAGAGAGAGAGAGAGAGAGAGAGAGAGAGAGAGAGAGAGAGAGAGAGAGAGAGAGAGAGAGAGAGAGAGAGAGAGAAAGGGCGGCTTAGACTAGCAAGGTAACCGAAATAAACGGGGCTAACATCTAGGTGGCGACCCGGTGATTAATGCCGCAAGCCGATACCCGCCGCGCTACAATGTCACTTAGAGAGAGGAAAGGGTTTTAGTGGGTAAACCTTACTTAGAAGGAAGAGAGTCCCACAACCTCCGTTATAGAGCCAAACGGGGGAGCCTATAACAGGTTTCCCAAACCTCGATAAAGGCAGGTCAGAACTCTCATCCTTGGTGATTTTGTTTAGTCGCCGGTAGTCAACAGATAACCTGGGTTTTCGACTTCGTCAGCGACCATTCGCTTCTTCTCTAAGGAACCGTACTGGAACGTTTGCAGTAGCTTGTCTAGCTGGAAGATGAGCGGTGGTGAAAACCCGTCTCCCGAGGAAATCGTGGACTGGTCGGCGGAGGTGGGTGCAGCCTCGTCCGTAGTTTCTTGTCCGTCGATGATGTATTGGATGCTGGTCACGCCTGCGATGTGGAGCCGATGGTCCGGTTCTGCTAGGCTAGCTGTTGTGTCGGCACATTGTCGAATCTCCGAGGCGAGCTCTTGTCTCACAAAATTGTGCCTCGACCCGGTGTCCAAGAGGGCTGCCACTGTGCCGTCCATAACGTCGGGAGGTTGGGTTCGGCTTTGGAACTGACTAATTGCTTGGCCGTTTCCCTGGTCCCGACGGCTGACTAGGGCTGGACAATTCCAGTGAAAATGATACTCCGGGCACTGGTAGCACTAGGGAGTGAACGTTCGGAGGCCGCGCGTGGCGTTGAAGTGACCTGGACGGAGGCTTACGCTATGGCGAGACGTACCAGATCAATGGGATTTATAGCTTACACGTTCCTTAGAAAAGTTCGAACACGAGGATGTAACAGCCCCTTCAAAAGGTTGATTTAGTCGCCAATCGAGATGCCCAGACGCTTCGCTATCTGTCCCTTCCTCTGGAGAAAGAAGTGGGCGGGGCGGACTCACCCTTTTGTTCTCTGGAGATGAACTCGGTCTTCAGCTTTCCATAAATTCGATAGTTGTACTTTTTCGGCATAGACTACTTGAGGTCATCGTATCTTGCGGAAAATGCCTCGTAGGTGCATCTTTAATTGTGTGGTCGCAATTTTGAGTTGGTCTGCAGGATTTTCTTTGGGGGTTTTATATTTTAAGGTGGTGAAGAACGTTATGGAGTCTTCCAGATGGGCGCCGCTGAAATTCCGGAGGGATGGTCTCGCGTTTACTAGCGTCTTTACCATATTTGTAGTGTGTTGGGCGCCACTGGACTGGATTGTTGGGTTCAGACCGTGGTTGGTGGTAGCGGGGCTCCGCTGCATGACTACGTTGGTTGTGCTGTCGACGGGACTATTGTCGGAGGGTGCGCCGCTTCTGATATTAATCGTCATTACCGGCTGGTGGGCGTGGGTGTTGTCGAGGTTTCTTTGCCAATTTGTTATTGGGTGGTGGGCCAGGTAACCAGGTAGGGTGAAGCGATCCATAACATGAACAAGGAAAAGTATTTTTGTTGCAGCTTACACTGTTAGATCACTATATCTAATATGAATTCCGTTTACTAAGGAAACCCCATATGACTAACACACTGTGGCTAAATAAACGCACTATAAAATGGTCCATCAGTAATACACGAGGAGGGTTCGGTGCGCCAGGCCTCAATCTGCTTACTCCTTGCGGTTTGAGGATTTGGAGCTCAGCCGGCCTATCTCAGGCGTGTGCTAAGGGTAGAGACGTGTGGTTTTTCCTTGCCAACCGGTGCTGCTTATATTCCCGTCGACCCAGAGGCGCCTGGCACTGCAGCCAATGGGGTTGTCGCAGTCCCTTTCTGGCTCACGGTAACAAACCAGCGGATTCTGTGACCGGTCCGTGCAAACTGCAGTACAGCTGGGAATAAGCTGACTTCAATTGGACATTGAGGAAAGAATCAACCATTAATCATATCCAAGTCCTGAGGGCGGAGTCAAACGATTACACATTCAAGCATCCACAAAACTTGATCGAGAACTCCTGGTGCATAAACAATAAAAGCATTCACGAACATTTGTTCTTTCGCGTTGCCGTTTGTTCCGTTGTATCAATGCGAATGCATGTGGTTTAACCATTTGACTTGCATGATTGTTTCACCTCAAACCTCCATTTACTCAAATGTAATTCTCTTACAGCACAGGCGTTATTTTTAAGAAAATAAGAACCATCTCACATTTTTAGATTTAAGATTATTGACTTATTCTTTGTCTTTTTACCCTTTCCTTAAGAGGACGATTAACCGACGAGCAGTTGAAGCAATTTAATATAAAAATCTATAAGAATAACCACCCCAATTTCTATTCTTTATTCTATTCGCAGGGGAGTCCGACCGGGCAGCACTTAGGCACACCAGAGGCCTATTGTGCCTACCCCCTTTCTTCGCAACTGAGTTCAGAGCCCGTTCCTCTCAATGAAGGATAGGACCCTGTTTAGCCTAAGTTGCTTCACCCTCCTCGGTTCCAAGTATCTGTCTCCAAGGAGTTGATATCTGTCCCTGATCAAAGCGTCACAGTGACAGACCACATGCTCGGTAGTTTCATCTGCCTCGCCACAGAACCTGCACGTTGACTCCTCCGCGAGCCCAATGTTATGCAGGTGATAGTTGACCATCCAGTGTCCCGTAAGGACACCGGTGATCTTCCTAATCTGGCTTCTATTCAGTTTTAGAAGCTTAGAAGACCCCGATTTGCCAAGGGGCCCTGTTAGAAAGGCCTTGGACTGTCGGAGTCCGGTTACTTGTTGCCACTGAGCCTGGAATTGACTGGTCAACCAGTCTTTAATCCTCGCCCTAAGAACGGAGGGAGCAATCCCTAGGGTAGGCTCGGGCCCGACGAGCACCCCACCACTGCCTTCGCGAGCCAACTCGTCCGCCCTTTCGTTGCCCCCTATTCCGCAGTGCGCTGGCACCCAAATCAAGCTTACCCTATTAGACTCACCTAATCTATCTAGAGTTCGCCTGTAATCAAGCGCCGTAGCTGATCGGAACCTGTCTACCGACAGGGCCCTCAACGCCGCCTGACTATCGCTGCATATGTATATATGCTTATTACGGTAACCTCTACGGAGGTTTTCCTGTGCACAGGTCATGATGGCTAACATCTCTGCCTGAAACACGGTGCTATGCTGACCAAGGGAGACGCCGACGCTGGCTCTCGGTCGATCACCATATATACCCATGCCCGTTCCCCTTTCTGTTTGGGACCCGTCTGTAAACCACACGAGCCCCTCAGGTTTGAGGAACGAGCAATCCGAGTTCAGCCACTCTGGTCTTAGCAAGATAGCCCGGATCACGTCCCTCCTTGCAAGGAGGGGATCGGTTCTGAGGGTTTCCTCCCAGATCCGCCCGTGCCCAAGGCTGCCTCGATCCTTCCATTCGTCCCAATCGTTTAGCCGTATGGAAGCTTTCCGAGCCTCTGCCTCCACAGCTAAGTGTAAAGGCTCTAGTCCCAGAAGTGCCTCCATGGCCAAGGTTGGCGTGGTTTTTAGGGCTCCAGTGACTCCCAGACAGGCGAGTCGCTGGACCTTTCCTAGCTGCTTCCTGTAGGTTACCCTGCGCATGGCAGGCCACCATACAAGTGCACCATACAGTATTATTGGCCTTATCACTGCAGTGTAAAGCCAGTATACCAATTCGAGGGTTCAAGCCCCATGTACAACCAAAAGCCCTTCTACATGCCCATAGACATGCAGTGACCTTTTTGCTTATGCGCTCAATGTGCCCTTTCCAGGTCAGGCGGGAGTCAATGATGACTCCCAGGTATTTCACTGACCTGGTCAGACCCAGTTGACGTCCTCGAAGAGCGAGCCCAGCAAGATCCGCTCTCCTTCTATTCGTGAATGAAACAACCTCGGTCTTTTCCGGGTTAACGGAAAGGCCATGGCTACTGCACCACCTATCCACCTGTTCAAGAGCCCCCTGCATGAGCTCTTTCACGGTGTTTGGAAACTTCCCATTTATGACGATCGCGAGATCGTCCGCGTATCCCAGTGTATACGCTCCCCCCTCGTTCAAGGTGCGGAGGAGCCCGTCTAGTACCAGGCACTACAGCAGTGGAGACAACACCCCACCCTGCGGGCATCCTCTAGTAACCGATGAGCTCATCTCCGTCATCCCAATTGAGGAAATAATGACTCTGCACACCAGGCTGTGTAGAGCCGTCTTCGTGGACATACCAGCCCTGTAAGCATGTTGGTACGGACCACCCCAATGTAGTTAAATTGTAAATGCAATCTAAAAAAAAATGTAGTAAACCTTGAGTCAAACAAAAATTTGATTACATAGACAATTCAACTCATGTATAAAAAATCGCATAAGCCGCAGTGCAATTGTCACTTTGACAGCGGCAAAAGTTACCTGCAACTTTTCCAGCGACAAATGCACTAGTGGTTTTTTCACTTATTCATTTTCGCACCAATTATCGCATTATCCTTTCCCATATGACTAGTTTGACGTCTGTCAATAATTGACTAGTTTGGTGAATTTCTTGTTCGTTAAATTGTCCTGCCGAATTACACTCGAGGTTTGCATTTAAACCGAGTAAATTTGGGTTGCTGCAATTCAAATCTGTTTCCTTTTAGCAATTGAACTCGAAAAACTGTCAACCTAAAAATGCTCCACCTTCGGTGTCGCATTTTTATTAGTTGACAGTTTTTCTCGTCTAATTGCTAGGCAACAAATTTTCATTACCTTAACAACCCAAATTTACTCGGTAAAATACAAACCTCTTGTGCAATTATAAGTGATTATACAATAAATTTTCTGTGATTATCTTAGGAAATAAATAATTATCCAGCTTAATCTGGCGCGTAGTTTAGTAAACGTTATCATATTACAAATATAGCCAAGCATGACATTGACTTAAAATAATCACGCGATTACATTTAGTTTTACTTTTAAAACGAAGGCGATGGTCTGGTTAGAGAAAAGGCTTTTGCAATACGGCGCTGCCTTCACTGGTGAGTTATCAATTTCATTGGTCCTTTTATAGTGTAGACCACTAGGTTTATTGCAGGTGTTCTCCTGTGGATTGCACTTGGGATGGCCATCGCCCTACTTACCTGTCTTGCTAAGTGAGGATTCACCAATCCCAATGACCGCAGATGAGTCATCTTGGGTGGGAACCGTTTATCTTTTGGGTGGGCTGTGCGGCAGCGTTCTGCTGAGCGTTGTGGGACGTCGAATCGGAAGAAAGTCAATTGTGCTATGGTCAAGTGTACCATTCTGTATATCATGGATAACAGTCGCCTTCGCAACAACACTACATGAGCTACTAATTGCCCGTTACATAGCAGGAATGAGTGAAGGGCTAGCTTTAGCATCCCTTATAATTTACGTCAGTGAAATTTCCGACAAGGAAATACGCGGAATGTTAGGCTCTAGTGTTTCCGTCACCCTCTTCCTGGGTGTTATGGCAATCAATCTGGTGGGATCTTACATGACTATCAAAACTTCATCTTTAATTCTACTGGTAATGCCCGCACTCCATTTCCTCACCTTCGTTTGGATGCCCGAATCACCAAACTACCTACTGATGAAAGGTAAATACCAAGAAGCAAGGCAGAGTTTTATTGCATTAAAGGGTTCAGAAGACGTCGACCACAGCTTGGCAGTGATCGGGACAGCTATCGAGAACGAAAATTTAAATAAAACGCGATTTATCTCCCTTTTTAAGAAAAATAACAGAAAAAGTTTGTGGGCGATTTTTGGAATACGATTCGCCCAACAAATGAGTGGTATCACCGCCTTTAGCATCTACGCTCAAACTATTTTCAAAGAGGGAGGTGAAGCAATTTCCCCTATTTTGGGGGCGGTGATATTTCACACGATACAACTTATACTTTCCGTACTAAGCGCTGTACTAGTGGACAAACTTGGCAGGAGACCACTACTCATATCATCTGCAATTGGTTCAATTGGAGCGTTGCTTGCTGGAGGATTGTTCTTCTTCATCCGAGACGTTGCCAACGTGGACACTTCCAGGATTTCGACGCTTTCAACGATTATATTGTTTATATTCAGTTTTACCTTCTGTTTAGGCTTACAAACTATGCCTAACTTTATAACAGCCGAACTATTCCCCACTGCCTTAAGGGCGTACGCCTCCACCGCTGCCTGCGTACTTTTATATAGTTTCGCGGCAATTTGCACAAAATACTTTCAGTTCACTAAGGATAACTACGGTATGTTTGTCCCATTTTGGAGTTTTGCCATTTGTGTCGCGATCGGATTAGTGATGATAGTGACATACCTACCCGAAACTAGGAACAAAACATTGGAAGACATTCAAATCGAACTGAATCAATCAAAAACGACACGTAAAAGAAGTTCACGAAATCCGTGAGGTTGGTTGTTCTATTACTACTGCCTCCGGAGTTGTTAGTAAGTGCAAACGGCAGCTCATTATTCTCACTCACTCTCTCACTAACAGCTTAAAAGGTAATAAAACAGTTTTGGTAGCTTGTTTAAGATTCCAAGTGTTCCCCAACTGAGTGGTTAAGCCCTGTCCCCTCGGTTCAGATTCTATACCCCGATGCCCGACCCCCTCTCATGTCATCCCATGTCCTTCAACCTCCTCTCTTCGCCCTTTCCCATAGCCACCTGTTTATCTTGATTTCCTTACAATAACTTGTTGCTTCCGTTCCTATAACTGTATTTCCCTTACATTTGTTCTATTTTTCTATTTTCCTCTGTTTATCATCTTCCAAAAATCATTTTCTGTTTTTACTTCCCTGATTCATTCTTTCTTTCTGTTTCGTCATCTTTTTTCTTTACATTTTCTTGTGTACTTTTTTCTGTTCTCTCACCTCTTTCTCCTCTAGTTCCTATCATTTCTCAGTATTTATTTTTCCATTCCTCTCTTCTTTTCTACCGTCCCCTTCAGATATTTGTTTCCGCGTTATTGCTTTGCATAATCTCCTTTATATTAATTTACCCCTCTATTGCCTCATATTTCTTCTCCTTGTTGTGTCTCTTGCCCATTCCGTAGCTGCTCTCTCTTCGCCTTTACGTCTTTTCATTTCTTCATCTTCAATTCCCCTTTAGACTCAATTCCATCGGTTGGTGATCTGATTCTATCCTTGTTGTTAAATTCCTATAGGTATTTCCATTTACTATTGTGTAATCAATTACAGACCGTCTCTATCTCCCTCCATACTTCCATTTAAAATTCTCCAACCTCTATTTTCTGATAATTCCAGTAACGCTTCTCCCTTTTTGTTGTTCTATCTTGATCTTCTATCTTGCGTTCATTTTCCCATATCTACCCATTTTCCTTTAATTTCGGTTTTGCCATTCAAATATCCCCCCAATATTGGCGCCTCCTCTTCCCATTCAGCTTTTTCTATTTTATTTTATAGTCCTCAATTCCTGCTCTGTTTGTATTGCATATCGTTATCACTTTCATTTTCTTTCCCTCCACTTCCACTCGTGTGGCCTGCAGTCATTCCTCCTCTTTCGATTGATCCCCCCGTTTATCCCCCCCCCCCCCCTCACAACTTAGTTATTCCATATAATATTCAGTCGGAAACCTGTTATTTATTTTCTCCTCTTATAAGCTCCCAGAATTAAAGGATGTAACATGCCACCCGTAGAAATTAATTTCTATCACTCAAAAATTCAGGGATAGGTGGAGCGATATCATGGCAGTTGCATTTGAGAGGGTCATTCTTGTCGCACGCCTTGTTAAAGGTTAAGGGGAAGGTTTGGCTTGAAGAGATTTAAGGGTTGGTTGTTTAAATTTTTATAACTTTTAATAATTCCAAGCGGAGTGCCCAGCGGAGCGAAGAAATTAGTTTTTTCTCCAACCACCTGAATAAGACGTTGTTTTGTGACAGTGTTCGGTACGTAAAATTGACGTTTTGCGGATTAATCGCTTTCACCATGGCAACCGTACAAAAAGTGGATACTTTTGGTCCTAGTACCAAAAAGAAATTGACCTTGAAAGTTGACCAATTAAAAAATTACAATCACGGAGATATGTCACATTGACATCGTTTTACATTGCAGGTTGTAAGATATTTCTATACATACAAATCAAATATTTTGGCATATTCAATGCAAATAATGATGTTACCTATACGTATGTACATGTATTGAAAATGATTTACGCTCGCTATTTTTATTTAAACCATGTGTAACGTAATTTACATATTATTTGGTGAACGTAATTTTAATACGTATACAACCCGCCGTCGCGCGTAACGCCATCTACTTCAGACTCATTGCACTATTATCTGTCATTTTGAATTCAAAATTTGAAAAAGTTAATTGCAATTAATTTTAATTAAAAAACTGTATGGTAAGTTTTTTATTTCAATACAAAATATAACATAATTGTGTATACAATAGAAATGACTGAAACTGATAGCGACATGGATTGCACTCCGCCAGAGATTATAGAAACAGCAGAACATGCTACCTCAAGATTTGCTCCCTACAAAGTCGCGAGAGGTGAGAAGTAAGAAGTCAGAACGAATAGGTTATAAGTTAACCTAAAAACTAGAGTGGCATGACACGTGAGGACAAGAAAGCAGAAGTTCTCAAACTAGTAGTGAAACTGTGACTGAATCTAAATTCGAATATAATTTGAAGTAAAGGGGTTGGAGAAAAAATTTTATGTTTTATTCGTACAAAAAATGCGTTTTCGGGACTCGGAAGGTTGCTGGACTCCGCTAACGCGTCGTCCAGCAACTATCTTCCTCGTCCCGAAAACTGACATTTTTTGTACTAATGAAACAAATAACTATTTTATTATACCTGAATCACAATTTCTGTTTTAAACACTCAAATGCGTGCGAAAAAGGGCCTTTAAAACACACGTGCTTTAAAGTTGCTAAGTAACGATACTTCAAGTATGACTTTTGAAACTGTCATCTAGATGAAATAAAAACTCCTCTTAGGTCGCTTTCTGTAAATGCAGAACATTTCTTTGGCTTTTGTATCTATCCTTTGGTTGAAGCTTTCACAAACGCGCGTAATTTAGGGCATGCTTCCAAATCGGTTCCACTTTTTAATCGCAGCATTTCTTTAAAGTTTTGAATGAATGCACCAAAATATAGAAGATTTAAATACCTTTGACATTTCTTTCATATATGCCAGCATTATGGATGCATTTAATGCCCGTTTGCACCGACAAATTTAAGCGGAACTTAGCTTAAGCGTCCCTTAAAATCCATGGCAACCATTGTCTCAATAATCGTTGCCATGGATTTTAAGGGACGCTTAAGCTAAGCTTCGCTTAAATTTGTCGGTGCAAACGGGCATAAGACTGTATTCGTAAGTAACTTCCTATTCATCCACTTTATAATAGGGTTTACTGGAGTTGGATTTTACACCTACCAACGTTTGTTTAGATTTTACAACAATCGATTTAATGGGCGGTGTATTATCTTTTTCAACGGAAATCGTTTTATTCACAAAGACGACGATTTTTATAAGCAAACGTCAAGTGACATTTCCATGGCAATCGTGAAATTACCAACACCCAGCCCACTTAATTAGACATGTATTCGAGTATAACGTCAATATGACTTCATTGTATTTCCTATTTTTAAATTACACTGCAGGTATAATAAAAAATACTATAAGATACACGTGTATAATTGGTCTTTAAAGCACTTGCAACGTTAAAGGCACTCCGCTTTGCGTCGTGCCCTTAAACTCGTTGCGCGTGCTTTAAAGACTTGATTATACACTTGTATCTTAATATACTATTTTCATCCAAATTCAATAGTATATTGCATAATAAGTGTGCTAACAAGCCTATTTCGCACGAGTATTTTGCGACACGAGCGAGCGTAGCGAGCGAGTGTTGTAATAAAATCGAGTGCGTAATAGGCATTAGCACTCGAATTATGTACTATACTTTTTCTACGACTTGAATATAATTGATAAAAGATTGATAGGTTACGATTGATTTGGTTCTAAATATTCGAACTTCGAACTAAAAATTAGAACTGTCAAGTGTCAAATGTCATGGTCTATTTAAAAGGAATACAAAATACAAGGTAACCTCACTTATATTCCATGAATGCACGCCAGCGAGCAAGAATTTTATAAATACTTTTTACTTAGATTGGAAGTGTATTGCAGGGTTTTTACATCCCTATTCCTTACTGCAAATGTGAGTTTTATTTTAGCACCATAGATGCAATAGCCAATAGGATACAAGATACAAGTGTTGAAGTTGAAGATTACTACCTAACTAGCTCAGGTGGTGTTTGTGCTCTTTTTCATTACAGTTTTGAACGATTTCTATTGTTGCAGTTGACAATGTATTAGGTACCTAACTATCGATAATACTAAGGCCTTCAAAACGCTGCGTCTTTTAACGAGTTTTCCAGGGAAGGAAGCAGCGGACTACCCAGTGTTCTAAAGTGCATTATTCCGTGTTCCATGCAAGTCGTAATTGGCACCATCCATTAATTCTTGGAGTACTTATTGTAGTTTTCTAAAATACAAAATAGTAGTAACAGAGTTTGCTTAATTAACTAAACGCAGCTTCAAACCATTTTTGAGTAGCCCATTACGATTATGAAAAATAATTGGGCACGGCTAATAAATTACATACAGACTCCATTCTCATACAAATGGCAATGTTTAAACAAATTATAGGTAATTCTGTTCAAAGTAGTTTACAAAATGTGAAACATAACCTACAACAACAAAATCTGACGTTACTTCATTCATTAGGCAGGGCTGACAACCTACTAAATTAACATTTCGCGTTTGACCTTTAACCTGTTACGTAATATATATATATATTAAGTAACAGTTCTAATTTTCATTATGCAACCGTATGATATAATGAACGATTTAGATGTGCAGTACAGGGTGACATTTTGGGTATGTTTACGACATAGGAGTAGAAAAAATAATAAACTATTTTCATTGTTTTAATTTTATTGAGAATCCGCGAAATACCTACTAGTATACGTGAATTATATTTAGTGCGGTTTAAATGTTAATAATTCGATGTGCATCTGTTTAGGATCCACAAAAGAACTTTCCGTAGATAAAGATCTTCATATACCAACAAATACGAATCTAGACCTAGGGGAATTTTCAACAAAGATTTAGTAACACGTTGAGTGCCACAAGAAATTTTTGAAAATTTTTTATCGGGCCAAAAACTATTTTAAGCATTTTCGGATATGTTATGGCGGGTATAATGGCAAAAAGTTATAAATATCATGATACAGTGTGTAAAGCGATGGGGTATTATACAAGAGGGAATTCTTTTTAAATATTGATTTATGAAAAAAATTTATTCTTCATGATATTTTTTGCTTGCTTTGAAAGTACCAATAACGTTTCGATAATCTAAAATTTATTTATAAAAATTTGGAAAAATAATAAAATTAATTTTTTTTTATTGAAAGTTATCATTCTACATTATAATTAAGATAGAGTATTACTATCAAACCACAAACAATCCACGTTATTGGTACTTTCAAAGCAAGC